TGCATATCAGTCCCTCTTCACGTTTGAGATTAAATGTGGAGATGGATCAATAGTTCGAGATAGTGAAGGGATCAAAAAGGAAGCAGAGAATTTTTTCATGAATTTTATGACTGCTCAACCTCTAAATTTTGAAGGTGCTACTTGTGAGAAGCTTCGAGATTTGCTGGGGTTTCGGTGTTCTGAATTAAACTGTCTAAAACTTGTCCGAGACGTCACTACGGAGGAGATTAAGGATGTTATCTTCAAAATGCCGACTAGCAAATCTCCAGGTCCTGATGGGTTCACTTCGGAATTCTTTAGAGATGCGTGGCCTGTGATAGGAAGTGATGTAGCTGTTGCAATTCAGTCTTTCTTCCTCAAAGGTTTCTTACCAAAAGGTATCAACTCAACCATTTTGGCTCTTATTCCCAAGAAAGAGGAAGCCACAGGGATGAAAGATTACAGGCCCATATCATGTTGTAATGTTCTCTACAAGGTGATCTCGAAGATACTTGCTAACAGATTGAAGAATCTTTTACCGCAGCTTATTACTCTGAACCAGTCGGCTTTTATTAAAGAGAGATTATTAATGGAGAATGTGCTTTTGGCAACAGAGGTGGTAAAGGATTATCATAAAGAGAACATATCTTCAAGATGTGCAATGAAGATAGATATATCCAAGGCATTCGACTCGGTCCAGTGGTCTTTTTTGATGAATACTTTGCTCTTGGTGTCCCAGAAAAGTTCGTACACTGGATTTCTTTATGTGTAACAACAGCCTCGTTCTCAGTGCAGATCAATGGGGAGTTGGCAGGATACTTTCAAAGTAAAAGAGGCTTGAGGCAAGGATGTTCTTTATCGCCTTACCTGTTTGTGATTTGCATGAACGTGCTCTCTAAGATGCTGGACAGAGCTGTGAAAGATGGAAAAATTGGCTATCACCCTCGCTGCAAAAACATTGAGTTGACTCATTTGTGTTTTGCAGATGATTTGATGATCTTTGCTGATGGTACTAAGAGATCAGTGGAGGGAATTTTGGAGGTCTTTGAGGAGTTTGATAGAATGACGGGTCTTAAGATAAGCATGGAGAAGTCGACGCTTTTTATGGCTGGGATCGCAACATCAAGGCAAGCAGAGATTCTTGATCAATTTCCTTTTGATTCAGGGAAGCTTCCAGTGCGTTACCTTGGTCTTCCTCTCCTCACCAAGAATATGACGGTATCTGACTTTCTCCCATTAGTTGAGAGGATTAGGAATCGTATCAGTTCGTGGAAGAGCAGATATCTCTCATACGCAGGTCGACTGCAACTTATAAAGTCAGTGATTACAAGTCTTACTAATTTCTGGATGGCAGCTTTCAAATTGCCGAGTAGCTGCTTGAAAGAAATAGAGAAATTATGTTCTGTTTATCTTTGGTCAGGACCTGCTCTGAATGGGAAAAAAGTTAAGATGGCTTGGAATGATGTTTGTAAGAAAAAGGAGGAGGGTGGTCTCGGTATCCGGCCTTTGAAGGAAACAAATACGGTTTGCTGTCTGAAACTGCTTTGGCGTATCCTCTCATCTCAATCTCTTTGGGTGAATTGGGTTAAAGCTTACCTTATTCGCAAAGGTTCTATATGGATGGTAAAGGAAAATATTCAGGGAGGTTCTTGGATGTGGAGAAAGATTCTTAAGTATAGAGAAATTGCGAAGAAGCTGTATAGGGTTGAGCTAAAAAATGGTGAGAATACTTCGTTTTGGTTTGAAACATGGTCTCCTCTGGGTTGTTTAAACGAACTCTTACAAGGAGGTGGTTACTATAATCTGGGGATTCCTATTGGAGCAAGAGTGAATGAATGCAGGAGACATCGAAGAAGGGTCCATCGGGTTGGGTTGTTGAATAAGGTAGAGGATGAGATCGAGAAGTATAAAGAAAACTGGGTACCGGCTGAGGATATATCTTTATGGCAGGATGGGAAAGGGAAATTTAAAAAATATTTCTCTGCAGGGGAAACTTGGCAGATTATAAGGGAGAAGCATGTTACTTGTAGTTGGTATAATGTGGTGTGGTTCAAGCATGCTACGCCAAAGTTCTCCTTTATATTATGGACGGTTATTCATGATAGAATTGCTACGGGTGAGCGTATGAAACATTGGAGTGGCAATGTTGATACTACCTGTGTTTTGTGTCAAAACCCGATGGAGACAAAGGAGCATCTGTTTTTTGAGTGTCCATATTCCACTCAAGTTTGGAAGAGTCTGATTGGAGGAGTTTTGGGAAATGATTTCACAGTAAAATGGGAGGAGCTGATACGGATTTGTGCTAATACAGGGAGGCAGAAACAAAAAAGTTTTATTATCAGATATGCTTTGCAGTTAACTGTTTATAGTATATGGAGAGAAAGGAACAGAAGGAGGCAAGGAAAGACTGGCCTTGCTCATGATCTTCTGGCGAAGATAGTTGAGAAGAGTATGAGGAACAGGCTGGTTACAATACAACAGAAGGGAGACCCGGATTTGGAGGGAGGATTAAGATTCTGGTTCAGTAAAAGATAGAAAATGTATTTACAGTTTGAACTAGATGAGTTTGGGTTTTGGATACGATTGGGAGGACTTGATGTTGGTGTTTGTCTGGCCAGTAGGAGTGAGAGCTGGCACCCAGTAGGAGTGAGAGCTGGGGTTAAAAAGCCTAGTAGGAGTGAGTGCTAGGTACTCAGTAGGAGTGAGAGCTGAGTTGGAGTGTTCTCATTTTTTGCAGTCTTTTGGGGTTAATTGGTAGAGAAGGAAAAGTAAGGGGGATACAAGTTCTATAGTTTTTTAATTTCTTCTTTTGCTTTCTTTATTCAGAAACATTTTGTAAAGGTCTTTTTTTTGAGTTATAAATTTAACATTTTAATTCAAAAAGAAAAAAAAAGCTAATAGCTCCAGTTGGTAATTCTGACGTGCTTTTGGATGGTGCAGGGTTTCGAAGTAATAGAGATAATATTTGACGTTGAGCACTGCCTACAGGTCTGCAATGATATCTTAAGCTACATCTGGACACAATGGCTATAGTTGAAAAGTTACTAATACCAGTATGTGTTACTTGTAATAACAGGCATATGTTGGGGTGGCAAAGGATTTAAATGCTATTATTATTGCATTCCGGGGAACTCAAGAACACAGGTATTTTTCTCTGTCATAGTAATCTTTACGGTACATCTTTTACCTAAACTAGGTTGATTGCTTAATCAACTCAAACATTGTGCAGCATACAAAATTGGATCTCAGACTTGTTCTGGAAACAGCTCGATCTAAATTACCCTGACATGCCAGATGCCATGGTACGCTTTAAGCTCAAGTTTTGTCATCGAGATTGTCATGTAGTAAGGTGGAATTTTTTAATACTTGTATACATTGGCAGGTGCACCATGGCTTCTATAGTGCTTACCACAATACAACTCTAAGGCCCGCAGTTTTGGGTGCTATAGAACGAGCGAAGAAATCCTATGGTGAGAACATCAACATCATGGTGACTGGTCATTCAATGGGAGGAGCCATGGCTGCCTTTTGTGGCTTAGACCTAGTTGTAATTATACTTGACTCTTAGCTAACTTTTATACATCTTATTGCCATGGCCTCTAAAGTTGTTCATTGAATTTGATTTGGATGTAAATCTCAGGTAAATGAAGGAGAAGAAAACGTACAGGTCATGACATTTGGGCAACCTCGTGTTGGGAATGCCGCTTTTGCATCTTATTACAGTTTGCTTGTGCCTAACACCTTCAGGATCACGCATGACCATGATATGGTTCCTCATCTCCCTCCTTTCTATAATATATTCCCTCAAAAAACATACCACCACTTCCCAACAGAGGTAGCGTCTCAGTTCACTAGATTTTCATCAGGTTGACTTTTAATATTTTAAGCTACTTTGTGCAAAAATGTGGACTACGCTAGTGTTTTTTTAATATCTCTGAATGTAATTCCTCCTTCTGATTTGTCGACTGTCTGGAAGAACCGAGGAAAGAGTTAATGGTGTGTTTTGGTTTGCAGGTGTGGGTGAGAGATCTCGGTTTTACGAATCTTGTTCTTGCTAGTGTGGAGAAAGTATGTGACAACACCGGTGAGGATCCTACATGCAGCAGGTAACTAGCAATCCCTCTAAATCAATTTTCTGATATAATTCTATCCCCGCAGTATAAACCTACACGAGCCAGGATAAATTCTCAAATGAAAACTTATGATTATCATTCACTACCACATTCAACCTGAACAATGACTATTAGTGGTCAGGAGTCATTACAGCATGGCTTATGTTTCATGTTATAGCTCAGTTACCAGACATTTTTAATGCGGATAATAATTATCGGTTGGTGTTGTTTCAGATCGGTGGTGGGGAATAGCATTTCAGACCATTTAAAGTACTTTGGGATAGATCTGAGGTGTGAGACGTGGAGACAATGCACAATAGTGATGAGCCATGAGATGGATAGATTCAGTAAGAAAGATTCAAACGGTAACCTAGTAATGTCACGGACACTTCCTTCCACGAACGTTAACGAAACAAAAACACTCCTCGAAAATGAGACTCTTTGAGTCTAGAGGTGTCGGTGGACGCGTGTCTTGATCAAAGCAGAGTTTGAAAGGGAGGGGGAGATTTCATATGTGTAGCAAGAAGAATGGGTTGTTGATTCTTTGTGGGGTCTGGAAAGAAAGTGTGTGGATAATAGCAAAAAGCTTTTGTAATTAAGTCGTAGGATGAACAGCATGTATAGTTGTGATTTGCAATTAAGTCATAGGTTTAAATCCATGTTCACATAGATATAAGTAAATTTGTGTTAATGGATATTGACATATGGCTGATAAACTGTATAGAACTGTTAAACGTTGTCCCTTTTAATTGCAAACCCGCCAGATGATAAAGAGTTTTAAGTAGAGTGGATTGGATTCTGCGTCCTAACTCCTAACCGCCAAATAAACACGTAAGCAAGACAGGATTTAATCATCGTCGTAGTTCCAATAATACCCTTGACTCTTGATGATATCCAACACGCGTCCCCTAATTCATAATGCTTATAGAGGACGAAACTGGAAATCATTTAAAAAAAATTAATAATAACAATAATAATATCCGTATTTCATCTGCGTTTCTTCATTCGCGATTCGCAATCGCAATTATTTATCAGAGGAAGATTAATCTCCGATCAGTACTGTCCTATATAAGGGTTTGGTTCGCTTTGCTTTCATCCTCAGTTTTGTCTGGTTGGTGAGTTCTCTAGCCCATTTTTTGCTTTAATCCAACTTAGGTTATGATTCCTTCTTTGATTCGTCCTTGTAATTTGCTTCCGAATCGTACTATTAGCTCAGTTTTGCCCCGTTGATGAACCGTAGATTGATTAGTCTTGTGTTTTATTGTCGTGATGTTGCAGGAAAATGGAACATAAGAGATGGGTGTTATTGTTGGCCATTTTTGCTTGTCTTCTTTTCTTTTCACGTGGAAGAGGTAATAATGGTTCTGTGTCTGTTTCTTTTATAGTCAACTTCATTTTTATCAATTCAATTCTCCCTCGACTGTGTCTATCCTAATTAAAATTAATAAGCTTCTGTGCAATTAGACCTGGAACAGCAAAGGGGACATAATATATGAGACAAATGTATTATTAAGACTGCAAAATTTGTGTCAAAAAAGACTGCAAAATTTGTGACTTTATGGTGTAAGTAAGCTTCTCTCTTTTTAGTTGCAGTTCTCAAGTGGGAGACTGATGATGATTCACCTGTTTACAACCATACACTTGCCTTAACACTTGTTGAGTATACTTCTGCGGTAAGTCGGTGGCAAATTAAAAAGGCCTGTTTCTTTGACGACATCATTTTTGTACAATACACGCATGCCATTTCTCTCTTCTAAACTTTGCGAGATAGCAAGGACTTACTAGATGTGTACTACTTGCAACCTATTATAAGTACTTCTAGAGAAGAGAGTTTTTGCTGATGAAAGTAGAGAAGATGTGTGAAATAAAGTTATTGTATGTATGCAGGTCTATATGTCTGATTTGACAGAGCTCTTTACTTGGACGTGCGAAAGATGCAATGGTTTGACAAAAGTATAAGTTATAACTTGTGTGTTTGATTTGATTCCACAATATGTATAAAAGCTATTGGCTCCAAAATTTGGGTATTGTAATGTTATTTTGGATGGTGCAGGGTTTCCAAGTAATAGAGATAATTGTTGACATTGAGCACTGCCTACAGGTCTGCCATAGTATCTTAATCTGTGTGAGGATATGATGTTCTTTCATTGAACAAATAAATGATATCAGCTCACTTAACTTGTAACAACAGGGATATGTTGGGGTGGCAAAGGATTTGAATGCTATAGTTATTGCATTCCGGGGAACTCAAGAACACAGGTATTATTCTCTGTCCTTTGCAATCTATAAGATACACATTTGCTTAGACTTGACCCAAAACATGTGCAGTATACAAAACTGGGTCTCAGACTTGTTCTGGAAACAGCTCGATCTAAATTACCCTGATATGCCAGATGCAATGGTAATCTTTAACTAGCAATTTTTGGTCATGTAGTAAGGTGGAATGTTTTAATAGTTGTCCTACGTTGGCAGGTTCACCATGGCTTTTATAGTGCTTATCACAATACAACGGTACGGCCTGCAGTTTTGGGTGCAGTTAAACGAGCGAAGAAATTCTATGGGGAGAACATCAAGATCATGGTGACTGGTCATTCAATGGGAGGAGCCATGGCTGCCTTTTGTGGGCTAGACCTAGTTGTAATCATCCTTGACTTGAACTAACTTTGTTGATATCTTATTGGCATGTCCTATGATGTTTACTAATGGACTCCTTTTGGGATGTCAATCGCAGGTAAATGAAGGATATGAAGACGTACAGGTCATGACATTTGGGCAACCTCGTATTGGGAATGCGGCTTTTGCATCTTATTACAGTTTGCTTGTGCCTAATACCTTCCGGATCACGCATGACCGAGATATAGTTCCTCATCTTCCTCCTTTCTTTTATCTTTTCCCCCAGAAAACATACCACCACTTCCCAACTGAGGTAAACAAAGTCTTTTACTATTTTTATAGTTGTTCTCAACGTCCTCCGAGATCTTCGTTGTACATCAGAGTAACAGCTTTGAGATTTTTATCCAAACAGTTGGTAATACATAGTTTGTTTCGGGTTGCAGGTGTGGGTGAGAGATCTCAGTATTTTAAAAATTGTTCGTATTGGTATTGAGAAAGTTTGTGACAACACCGGTGAAGATCCTACATGCTGCAGGTAACTAATTATTATAATCTCTGTCGGCAATATATCTAAACTAGCAAAAACAAGCCTGCAAATTGAAACATAAGATCATTCGACCTGACCAATGACACGGTTTGTGGTTAATGTTTTCACTTTGGTACAGGACATTTGGACTGGAAAATTTACAACATGACATGTGTAATTCATATTTCACATAGGTTAGAGGACAGTTTTAACATGAGTCCAGTGTAACTTGTTGACTTTTCATTGTTTCAGATCGGTAATGGGAAGTAGCATATCCGACCACTTAACGTACTTTGGGGTAGAGCTAATGGGTGAGACTTGGAGACAATGCAGCATAGTGATGGGCGAAGAGGTGGAGAGTTACAGTAGAAGAGATTCAAAGGGTAACATTTTCCTGTCGTGGACAGATCCTTCTGTGGAGGTAACTGAAATGAACACTCTATCCACAATCGGAGTCTCCAGTATGTAGGAGCTGGTTGATTGGAGTGTTGAACCAGAATACTTTGCTTGAAGGTGAGAGGTTGGGAAACTCAGAGGTGGAGGAAGGAGGAGGGTTCTTTGATTCTTTACGGTCGTGTGAGATAGTGTACAGATAATAACCAAGACGTTGTAAATAGGTCGTCGGTTGATATAAAATAAAATAAAATAAAAACATGTTACTCTCTTACTAACTTAAATCCATTATCACATGGATAGTGGATACAGCTATGTAACTATATAAATATGTATGGATATCCAATTTATGTGGATGGTGAGTTTATGTATCATATGTAGTATTATCTCCAGTGTCCACATCTGTTGGAGCTCCAAAGCGATGAATGTATTATCTTTATCTATCTACTAGGGTTGGGCGCAAGGCGAGTATTTGCTATTTTGCGTGTATTTGATACTTGACTTGCCTTGCACGAGTAATAAAACTTCCGACTTGTATTTGACTTGTTAAAAATGAGTACTTGCTATCTCGAGTACTTGATCAAATATCAGTTACTTGCAAGTTACTTGCCTCATTTTATTAGTTGCTAGTTACGAGTACTTGTGAATTATCTATATGTATTTTTTAGTATTTAAAAATTAATTACTAAATAATCATATACCAAAAAGACATGAAGGTTTACTTATTTATTTTACTAAAAAGAACATACAATTACTTTAAATTTTTTTTATGCATAACGAGTTTAATATCTTATTTATTAATGAGTTGTCATGTTTATTAAATTAATATTTGTATGAAACTAATATCAAATCAAGAAAATTATTATTTTTTTGCAAATAACAAGTATTATTATCAAATAACGAATATTTTGTAGAATGAGTAACGAGTATTTATAAAACGAGTAATTAATACCAAGTAACGAGGCAAGTATTGAAAAATGAAATAATACTTGATACTTGCCTTGCCTTTTCGAGTAATAAAATTTGTTGACTTGTTACTCGACTTGGCAACACCGAGTACTTGGATTTTTAAGGTGAATACGGGTCAAGTAACGGGTATAAGGCGAGTATCGAGTAATGATGCCCAGCCCTACTATCTACATGCTTTGGCTGATTAACGAATTGACCGGGCTGGTTGTAAACAGTTCTTTTTATCAATGATTTCGTTGTTGTTGGTATTTTAAAAATTTAGATCTAACACACAAAAAAAGAAACAGAACGTTCTTGACACTAGTTACCTCAAATTTGTGTTGGCCTAGAAGGGGGATCCTTTATCACCTTTTTTATTTATTTTATGTGCTGAAGCATTAGTACACGTTCTAAATAGAGCTGAAGGACAAGGAAAGTTACGGGGTGTAAAGTTAGCCAAAGATAGTCCTTCTGTGCATCATCTGTTATTTGCGGATGATAGCTTACTGTTATGTGAAGCCTCTATCAAGGATAGTGTAGAAATTCTGAATTGTTTGGAACTTTATGGGACGGCTTCTGGACAAATGATTAATCCTTTAAAGTCTTCTATCATTTTTGGGAAAAGCGTCACTGACGATACAAAACAGGATATCAAGAGAATTTTAGGTATCGATAAGGAAGGAGGGGAAGGTACATATCTTGGTCTCCCTGAATGTTTTCAGGGTTCCAAAATAGATCTGTTAAATTTTATCAAAGAGAAATTAGAAGGTANAATCAGTTGCTTTAGCTCTCCCAATATATGCAATGTCAGTATTTCGCCTACCTAAAGGTCTTTGTGAACGACTTACGAGTGCGATTATTGAATTTTGGTGGAGTAGTGGGGATAAAAAAAGGAAGATCCCCTGGGTGGCATGGGAAAAATTATGTAAACCAAAAGAACAAGGAGGTCTCGGGTTCCATGATATTGGTCGTTTCAACCAGGCTTTACTTGGAAAACAAGCTTGGCGAATTTGGAATAATCCCGATTCTTTGGTCTCCCGCATTCTTAAAGGCAAATATTTCAAAAATGGGAATTTTTTGGATTGTGGCATGGGTACACGGCCATCGTATGCATGGAGAAGCATCATGCATGGTAAAGAATTACTAAAAAAAGGTTTATATCAACATATCGGCAATGGGGTTGATACCAATGTTTGGGCGGAAAACTGGATTATCGATACCATTCCTCGGCCACCAATGTATCGGGAAAATAGTTCCATAAATCTAGCGCTAAAAGTTTCCGATCTCTTTATTCCGGGTTCGAATCAGTGGAATACAACTTTATTACATCAAACTTTTACGGCAGAGGATGCTCAACGGATTTCACTTTTGAAACCATCATTGATGGTTGACGATACACTCAGATGGGGTTTCACAACGAGTGGTTCTTATTCGAC